ACACACACACACACACACACACACACACACACCCTTCCTAAACCCATATTAAGGTAAGGTAGAGTGTATACTTTAGTTCTTTTACGAATAGGAGGACCAAAACTTTCCTTTACTGTCAAGAGAGCTGGACACCAGGCCTTCGTGAGCTCACTGTCCATTGTCGTACGACTCCATAGACTTGTATTTTTAATAACCTATACCACGCAATCGGACGTCATTTGAGAACAGTACGGAACGCGCCATTTGGCACAATTTGGAAGCAAATGATGGGCAAGTGAGCAACTGTCTCTAGCTCACCTGGCTATATATAGCATAACGTTTGGACGCCCATGGTGTGCACGCTCTACAGCTACGTTTTTATAGAGAGCAAAAGAGCCTCTGTCTCTTTCAAGCAAGGTTTCTATGTCTCGTTCTTATCTTCTGTCAGTCCCCCCCCCCTTAAAAAAAAAAAGAAAAACCCTCTGCCCCATCTTCTTGTCTTCTCTTGTTCTCTACTTTTGCTTCCACAATGTCTATCAAACATCTCGAGTAAATCATGGCGTATGGCATGGCTAACGTACATGCTGTAACGAGCACCTGTTCAAGACACATACTTGTACAAACGATCATTTCCCGCCTTACCCCTTGTATTTGAAAAAAAAATTCCATTGACGCTGTCCACGACGTACACTATAAGAATATTTTGTCTAAGACAAACACTTTTTCTCCTCCACACTACGCTACCTCTACATTTGCAAAGTTCTATCAGCTCAGTACCTAGTTTTGGAGAAATTTGATGTATGAATTTTTCAATTTCTCACCGCGTTAAACTATTTCGAATGCAATATCTTGAAATATTTTGATAACTACTCTGAATAATTTTACGATTTTGATAGAGCGGATGGGACATTAATTTAGTTTCTGACCTCATGGTCTAAGTAACTCAAAACAGACAAAAAAGTCAGAATTTTGTAATTCTTAGGTAGCCAAAATGTGCCACAACGCGGTGGAATCAGGCGCTCCTCAATTTTTTGACATGTAAAGATATTGGTATTATTTTAAAGATTGTTCATTTATATATCTTTCGATGTAAAAAATACTCATCCATCTCCAGTAGGAATTGAGATATTTGCGCCTGAAGGAGGTGGGGGTCGCCCAGCTTCAGAGTGGTAAAATTAGCGAGATAATATCTGCTAACGTTTTCAACGATAAAAATTGCCAAACTAGCGGGAAAATGCCTATATCTTCGATTTCATTTTTTTCCTTCTTTTTTTTGACGAACGCCTGTTTTCACCACGATGCATCACATCTAAGTTATCAATAGTTTACCGGTGGCCGCCAAGAACAATTCGGACAATAATGCGGTGTTCACACATACAGGAGTAACGAAGCCGATTAAGACAAACTTTCTAAGTTAAGCAGGAGTGATATTTCATGTTCGCCGTGCGAAATTATTACACGGGAAGCTTGCCGAAATTTTCAAACATGCTAAAAATTTTCGCCGAGCGAAAAAAGAGTCGCCGAGTCAATAACTCGCTCGGGGAAAACTCGGGGAGAACTCGGGGAGTGTCAGAAATAGCTTGGCGGGCAAAGTTGCATACGTTGCCGAGTGACAGTGACACGTCGACGAGATCTGAATGATAGCCGTGTTAAATTTCATACTCTGCGGGTTAAATCATTGCTCGCTGTGTAAAAATCTTGCTCGGGGAGTCTGAATAATTCAAGCACGGCTTGCAAAAGTTGACACGACGAGCATGTAACTATTTCCTGTTGCCAGGTATCGAAGAGTGACAACCAGCTTGATCCCAGGTTCCAGTGACTGCCTCCAGAAAGTGTTTGCCTTGTGGATGGAGGGGCCAGTTTTCTCCAGTAGTTCTTGGAAAAACTCTGGGGAAGCTCTGAGGATTTTCCTGAAGGATGCCTCATCTTCAACTTGCAATTCAGCCATCAGCTTCTCAAGCTGTCCTAAGTTCTTTTGAGCAATGGTCTAACCGAACAGGTCCTCCTCCTCCTCCTCCTCCTCCTCCTCCTCC